TATCCACTGAGCAAAATTGGCTAGGGCTTCTACTTTTTTACTGCTGTATAGTATTCCATGGTATAAATGTACCTCAGCTTTTTATCCATTCATCTACTGATTGGCACTTGGGCTGTTTACAGATCTTAGCTATTATAAGTTGTGCTGCTATGCACATAGGGGTGCACACATTCTTTCTGATTGGTGCTTCGGGTTTCTTAGGCTATATTCCTAGAAGTGGGATCACTGGGTCAAATGGCAGTTCCATATTCAATTTTTTGAAGAAAGGCCATACTGTTTTCCATAATGGTTGCACCGGTCTGCATTCCTACCAGCAGTGCATAAGAGTTCCCTTTTCTCCACATCTTCACCAGCACTGGCCATTTGTTGATTTGTTGATGGTAACCATTCTGACAGTATGGTACCTCATTGTCATTTTGATTTGCATCTCTCAGATTAGTGAATTGAGCATTTTTTCATATGTCTCTTGGCCATCTGTCTGTCCTCTTTGGAGAAGTGTCTATTTAGATCCTTTGCCCATTTTTTAAAAAATATATATTTTATTGATTTTTTACAGAGAGGAAGGGAGAGAGAGAGCTAGAAACATCGATGAGAGAAAGTCATCGATCAGCTGCCTCTTGCACACCCCCTACTGGGAATATGCCCGAAACCAAGGTACATGCCCTTGACCAGAATCGAACCTGGGACCTTTCAGTCCGCAGGCCGATGCTCTACCACTGAGCCAAACCGGTTTCGGCTGCCCATTTTTTAATAGTTTGTCTTCCTTTTGTTAAATGAGTTCCTTATATATTTTGTATATTGTCTTTTTTTTTTTTTAATGTGGAATGCTTCATGAATTTTTGTGTCATCCTTGCGCAGGGCCGTGCTAATTTTCTCTGTCTTGTTTTAGTATATGTGTTGCCAAAGTGAGCACTTGGATTTTAACTCTTTATGAGATGTATCATTGCCAAATATGTCCTTCCATACACTGGGTTCTCTTTTTGTTAGTGGTTTATTTTGCTGTGCAGAAGCTTTTTATTTTGATGTAGTCCCATTTATTTATTTTTCCTTAGTTTCCTTTGTCTTAGGAGATGTATCTATAAACATATTGCTGTGAGAAATGTCTGAGATTTTGCTTCCTATGATTTCTTCTAGAGTTTTTATGGTTTCATGATTTACATTTAAGTCTTTTGTCCATTTTGGGTATAAGTTGGTGGTCTAGTTTTATTTTTATTTACATGTATCTGTCCAATTTTCCCAACACCATGTATTGAAGAGACTGTCCTGACTCCATTGTATGCTCTTGCCTCTTTTGTCAAATATTAATTGAGCATAATGGCTTGGGTCAACTTCTGGATTTTCTGTTCTGTTCCATTGATCTATATGACTGCTCTTGTGCCAGTACCAGGCTGTTTTGATTATGGTGGCTTTGTGGTATAACTTGAAATTCGGTATTGTGATTCCTCCAACTTTGTTTTTCTCACGTTGCTTTTTAAACACAGTCTGTAAAAGTTATTTAAGTAATTTGAGAGGTCTTGAAATAAGTTTATTCATTTTGGGTTTTGTATTTTGTGTTTAGTCTAAAGAAAATTTGTTCAGGTTTTCACAGGCGAAATAGACAAGATGGATCATGTCCACTTGCTTTTGGGGACCATCAAGAAGCATATGTTGAAGACATCCTTCTCTGGCCAGGTTCTGAATTCTGTCTTGTCCTGGAGAAGCAAAGAGTATTATGAAAAAGATGATGGCTCTTGAATTCCTGAGTCGAAATCTAAGCCACTACGTAGAATAAAATAAAATCAGAGTTCCCATTTCAGTATAGAATAGCTTAGAACTATGGGGGAAAAAACCCCACATGATTCGGAATGAAACAGACTGTTATAATTTAAAAATTTGAGCCTTAGTTTTCTCATCTGTAAAAGGGATGGCAGTTTTCTAAATTGGTTGAAAGGATTAAGTCAGAGGAGATAGGTTAGACAGAACTGCTCCACAAGGTTAGACAGCACACACCCTCCCACTCTCCATCCCCACCCTGCCCCCAAGTTTAGGTGTGGTCTTTTGCTCAATGCATTAAACAGCTGTTAGAATCCCGAGCTTGGTTTACAAAGATGAGTAATGCAGTTTCTTCCCTCTGGGAAGTTTCTTCCCTTCTGGAAGTTTCTTCTCTCCAGGTTCCTCCCTTAGTGTTTCTTAAAACTGTCTCAGGGACTAATCACTTTGAAAGAGCTACTTAAAAATGCATATTTTCAAGCCCCACCCCAGATAATTAGATTTATTAGGTATGAGGTGGGGTCTAGGAAACCAGATAGCTGTCCACAGAATTCTGATACTGTCTGACACTATATTTTGAGAAGCTTTGATCTAGAGAGCAATGCTGCTAATATTAATGTAATGTGATGTTTTATAATAAAGCTATATAAGAGTATGATGCCATTTGAATTATGGGCAGGTTCCCCCCACCCCCAGTAGCTAGAAGGTAATAGCAAAAAACAAAACAAAAAAACAAAAACATTAAAAATAAACAATAAAGGCTCAGACCCCTTCTGGGAAGCCATGGAGAAGGACTTCCCTGACTTAGGAGGAAAAAGCCTGAGGAGGAGATGGAGGGAAGGAAGCAGGAAACAACAACAAAAAAATTTTTTTTAAATTAAGCCCATTTTTTAAAGAATTCACGTAGCTTTTTTTTTTTTAATTTAATTTAATTTAATTTTATTTTTTAGTGATTTTTTACAGAGAGGAAGGGAGAGAGATACAGAGTTAGAAACATCGATGAGAGAGAGTCATCGATCAGCTGCCTCTTGCACACCCCCACTGGGGATATGCCCGCAACCAAGGTACATGCCCTTGACCGGAATCGAACCCGGGACCCTTCAGTCCCCAAGCCGACGCTCTATCCATTGAGCCAAACCGGTCCCGGCTGAATTCACGTAGCTTTTATTTTTTATATTTATCTTTATTGTTGAAAATACAAATTTCCCCTCCCCCCAGCCACCCTGCTCCCACCCCCAATTAAACCCATTTTTATAAATGGTTACACAAAGCCTTGCTTTATTCACTAAAGAATTAATGGGAGAGTTTTTATGGATCTATTCTGGGTTGGAATCTGGAACAACTCATTAGCTTTGCGGCCTTGGTCAAGTTACTTCCCAGCCTTAATTTCACTTGTAAAATACATAACATCTCTAATATTAATATCTTCCTAATGAAGATGACATAAGGAATTAAAAAACACCTTCATGACCTAGGCACCTAACATTCCACAATCACGTCACCTTCTTCAGCCTCTGCCCAAAGCAGCAAAGGTCTGTTATAGGGGAATCCATACTTTAAAACATGATAATCTATCATAAAGTCTTGAAATTGTAGATAATAAAGTGACACATAATATACAAGGACTAAAGAAAATGACCTCAGCATATCATTGACAAGCCACCCAGGCCGCCTCCACCAAAACTAGGATAAAGGAGAGGCTGAACGGGAGGACAGAAATTCAAATGCCTGGGGGGAAACCTTTAATCTTTGTAGTTACAAAAAGCAGGAACTCTTGTTATTTTATGCACAAAAGGTATTTAAAATTGTGTGTGTGTGTGGCAGGGTGGGGGCCTTATAAGAGCTATAAGGCCCCCAAATAATTTGGTTTGGCTCTGCCAAGGCATTAGGGGTGAGTTAATGGAATGTTTGACCAAAATATAGGAGGCTAATTTTTATTTTTAAGTTGATAATCTTGTATGGCCCTTGAATGTTATGAATATCCAAACAGCCTTTGGCAGAAAAGATCACCCCACCCCCCTCTCCCCGCTTTAAGACAAGCTCTGGAAAAGTTAACTCGCTACCCGTTACTTGGTCTACATCTTTAGGGAAACTTAATTTAAAAAAAAAAAAATGGCTTTTGCTAGAGTCTCATAAAGACCTCGCTAATGGGTGGCTCAGTATTGGCTGACGGTGTGCGCGCCCACGCCGCGCGTCAGGGTTTCCACCCACGTTCAGAGGCATGCGCCCGCCTCTCGGCCGCCCGGGAGCCGTAAGGTTTGATAAGTGCGTTTTAAGGGTCCTTAAAGGGAGACTCAAACGAGCCCTGTTGCGAGTGACAACAGCGCCTCGAGCTTCTTGGCCCAGACACTAGCTGAGCCGTTGGAGATACCGCCTAGTGATTGTAAAGACGTCCCCTGAAAAGGGCCAAAATGGCGACGGACTCCCACTGGCACAGCCCTGTTCCCACCCCCGCAACAGGCAGTCTTAGCAACGCCCATTGGCCAAGATGGAGGCGGTGCTTTAGCTTTCTTCGCTTCCTCATTGGACTCAGTGACTGACAGAGACGCCAATTCTCCTCTGCTTACTGTAAGCTGCCGCCCTCAGAGTTCACTCGGCATTTAATTGGCTTTTAGTTCCGTCAATTTGCGTCTTATCTTGTCTTTTTTCAGCGTTAATCCAATCATAACTTTCCTGGATGCCCGCCTGATTCTTAATTGGTCTCCAGCAGCTTCATCCTATCCCATTCCTGTCTACTTTTTAGCCTCCGCCCTCCAGGACTTTGCTCAGGCACGTCCAGGGTTTTGGTTGGTCGCTGTTTTGTCATTCCGGTCAAAGCTCTCCCAATCCCTACCGTGCAGGGAGCCCGCCTGGCAATTGACTGGTATCTTTCCAAGCCTATCATGTATAGTTCCCGCCCATTTTCACTTCCTGCGTCTCTCATTGGCTTTTGAAACTGAGGAGGCGGTCTTTTAGGGCGGACGCGGGGCACGCAACTTTGTCTTACACGCCTTAGAGAACAAGCGAGTCTTACCATTGGATTACCTGGCCGCCTTTCTTCTGCAAGTCCCCCCTTCCTCCCTCCCTCATTGGGCGGGGCAGCAGCGAAGAGGAGGGGCCTAGGCTGGGCTTGTGGCGCGCTGCTCCCTCCTCCTTACCCCCCCCTCCCTGTCCGGTCCGGGTTCGCTTGCCTCGTCAGCGTCCGCGTTTTTCCCGGCCCCCCCCAACCCCCCCGGACAGGACCCCCTTGAGCTCGTCCCTCAGCTGCCACCATGAGCGGTAAGGATGAGTCCACTCAAAGCTTAGGGGTGGTAGGGAATGAGGGGGCGCGCGCGAGGGCCGACCGGGCGGTCCCCGCCGTGAGGGGGGGCGGGCGGGAGGCGGCGGCGGCGGCCTTGGTCCCGCCCGGGGCGGAGGGAAGGGAGGGAGAAGGGGCAGTGGCGGGGCCTCCGAGGAGGAGGGGGATGGGCCACCCGCCCCGGGGGAGGGGGCAGAGTGGCCTCGCCCGCCCCCTGCCCGCCCCGGCCGCGGGGGGACGGGCCTTACCCCCCACAACTCGGCCGCCTGCCTGAGGCTCCTCCCGTCGGGGGCTGGAGCTGCGGGGGTGGCCCGAGCAGTGCAGGCCCCGCCCGGGCCAACCGCCTCCCCGGTCCGCCTTCTGGTCACCGCCTGCCCCAGGGCCCTCCCCCCCCCCCCCCCGTAAGTTTCCCCTCCCCCCTACCGCCCCGCCCTTTCCACGCCCCTCACCCCGAAACCGCCCTTTCCCTCTAGGGTCCGCCCTCGGTCCGCCCGGAAACCTCCAGATTTCTAATCCCTGGACCCCTTTAGTCCCTTAATCAGAATTCACAAATGTTTCCCCACTCACACTTTTTATTTCTTCTTTTCCCCCCTTCTTCCCTTTTGTTAACTTCTTAATATTTGAATATTTCTCATTCTTTATCTCCTTTGATACTAATTTTATCAAGCTTTCTATACATCCACATGTAGTTTTTTTGCCTTAGCCCACCCTTCCCTGCCCCATAGTTTTTATTTTGAAATTCTTTCAGCATGCCCACTGTCTTTCACATTTCCTATACCAAAAGCATCTTTTCAATATTTCTTGAGTCTAAGTTTGTAACAAGGAGAGCTGAGGCCCAGTTTGGCATCAGGGAGCCTAGTTCGCGTCCTATGTGTCCTACAACTGTCCCTACTCTCCCATCCATTCCCCCCCACCCCCCTCACTGGCGCCTTTCACCTTTTAGTCATGTCTGTTTCCTCATAACCTCCTTTACCCTTCCTCATCTTACCCTTTTCCTTCCCCCAACTTTAAGTTGTTTATCTTTTAATTCTTTTTAGACCAAGATCACTCCATGGATGAAATGACAGCCGTGGTGAAGATTGAGAAAGGAGTTGGTGGCAATAATGGGGGCAATGGCAATGGCAATGGTAATGGTGGTGGTGCCTTTTCTCAGGCTCGAAGCAGCAGCACAGGCAGTACCAGCAGCAGTGGAGGAGGAGGAGGAGGACAGGTAAGGAACCATCAGGACAGAGTGGGGAAAGTGTTGAGAGGATGTATAGTTTTAGATGTGTTTTTTTTTTTTCACAGAACAAGTTTTAGGAAGGGGCTATCCACTTTACTTGTATAGATAGGGAAGTAAGTACAGAGAGAGGTGACTTGGAGATGATTCCCCAAAGATGAGAATTTTAGCAACAGATTTTTTTATATGTCTGTTATTTTTTTAAGTATATGTATATACTTTTAAAATATATTTATTATTGATTCCAGCGACTACGGAAGAGGGAGAGACAGAAACATCAATGATGAGAGAGAATCATTGATTGACTGCCTCCTACATCTCCCCTGTTGGGGGTGGAGCCCACAACCCGGGCACGTGCCCTTGACTGGAATCGAACCGGGGACCTTTCAGTCCACAGGCTGACACTCTCCACGGAGCCAAACCAACTAGGGCTAAATACATATATTTAAGTTGACTTCAGAGAGAGAGAGAGAGATAGATTGAGATTGAAACATCAATGATGAGAGAGATTCATTGGTCACTGCCTCCTGCACGCTGGCAACCTGGGCATGTGCCCTTGACCGGAATCGAACCTGGGACCCTTCAGTCCCAAGGCTGTTTTTTGTGTGTGTGTGTGTGTGTGTGTGTGTGTGTGTTTTTTTGCTCTTGGGTTTTCTGCACTGTTTGCGGTTGTATACTGCCCCCTAGGCTGGCAACTGGATGTCATTAAACTAATTCTTTCCCTCTCATTTTTTTGGCTAGGAATCCCAGCCATCCCCTTTGGCTCTGTTGGCAGCCACTTGCAGCAGAATTGAATCACCCAATGAAAACAGCAATAACTCCCAGGGCCCAAGCCAGTCAGGGGGCACCAGTGAGCTTGACCTCACAGCCACACAACTCTCACAGGGTGCCAACGGCTGGCAGATCATCTCTTCCTCCTCTGGGGCTACTCCTACCTCAAAGGAACAGAGTGGCAGCAGTACCAATGGCAGCAATGGCAGTGAGTCTTCCAAGAATCGTACCGTCTCTGGTGGGCAGTATGTTGTGGCTGCCACCTCCAACTTACAGAACCAGCAAGTCCTGACAGGATTACCTGGTGTGATGCCTAATATTCAGTATCAAGTAATCCCACAGTTCCAGACCGTTGATGGGCAACAGCTGCAATTTGCTACCACTGGGGCCCAAGTGCAGCAGGACGGTTCTGGTCAAATACAGATTATACCAGGTGCAAACCAACAGATCATCACAAATCGAGGAAGTGGAGGCAACATCATTGCTGCTATGCCAAATCTACTCCAGCAGGCTGTCCCCCTCCAAGGCCTGGCTAATAACGTCCTCTCCGGACAGACTCAGTATGTGACCAATGTGCCCGTGGCCCTGAATGGGAATATCACCTTGCTACCTGTTAACAGCGTTTCTGCAGCTACTTTGACTCCTAGCTCTCAGGCAGTCACGATCAGCAGCTCTGGGTCCCAGGAGAGTGGCTCACAGCCCGTCACCTCAGGGACTGCCATTAGTTCTGCCAGTTTGGTATCACAAGCCAGTTCCAGCTCCTTTTTCACCAATGCCAATAGCTATTCAACAACTACTACCACCAGCAACATGGGAATTATGAACTTTACCACCAGCGGATCAGCAGGGACCAACTCTCAAGGACAGACATCCCAGAGGGTTAGTGGGCTACAGGGATCTGATACTCTGAATATCCAGCAGAACCAGACATCTGGAGGTTCACTGCAAACAAGTCAGCAAAAAGAGGGAGAACAAAACCAACAGTCACAGCAACAACAAATTCTTATCCAGCCTCAATTAGTTCAAGGGGGACAGACCCTCCAGGCTCTTCAAGCAGCACCATTGTCAGGGCAGACCTTTACAACTCAAGCTATCTCCCAGGAAACCCTCCAGAATCTTCAGCTTCAGGCTGTTCCAAACTCTGGCCCCATCATCATCCGGACACCAACAGTGGGGCCCAATGGACAGGTCAGTTGGCAGACTCTTCAGCTGCAGAATCTCCAAGTTCAAAACCCACAGGCCCAGACAATCACCTTGGCCCCGATGCAGGGTGTTTCCCTGGGGCAGACCAGCAGCAGCAATACCACCCTTACACCCATAGCCTCAGCTGCCTCTATCCCTGCGGGCACGGTCACTGTGAATGCTGCTCAACTATCCTCCATGCCTGGTCTCCAGACTATTAACCTCAGTGCTTTGGGTGCTTCAGGAATCCAGGTGCACCAGCTTCCAAGCCTGCCCTTGACTATTGCAAATGCCCCAGGTAAGGCTTCAAATTTTTTGCATTTAGATTCACAGCTAAGTAGCATCTCAGCTGAAACTGTTGATTCCAAAGAAGGGAGTAACTTTTTTAAGGGCTAATCATTTAGGCAAGTCAGTTAGAAAAATAGCAATGATTCTATTTGGAACTGATTTAACAGAAAATTTCCCCCCCAGTTAACCTGATGAGAAAGGAGCACTTCTGGGTAATGTCTCTGAAATCTGTACTTCCCGTGCTTTTAGTACTACAGAATAAGGATCTGCAAACATTTTTTGTAAAGGGTGTGATAGTACTTATTTTAGGCCTAGTAATAGTGTTTATTTTAGGGCTGTATATGGTCTTTTTTAAATGTTTTTTATTGATTTCAGAAAGGAAGGGAGAAGGACAGAAACATCAATGATGAGAATTACTGATTGGCTGCCCCTGCACGCCCCCTACTGGGGATTGAGCCTGCAACCTGGGCATATGCCCTTGACTGTAATCAACCCAAGACCCTTCAGTCCACAGGCCAGCACTCTATCCACTGAGCAAACCAGCTGGGGCAAGGCTATATATGGTCTTAATCATATTTTTTTTGGTTTGTTTTTTACAAGCCTGTAAAAAAGTGTAAAATCATTCTTAGCTTGAGGGTTTTATTTAGCCTTTGGGTTCACTCTTGTGTAGGATAAGAATTGATTATAAACTTGACTTATTTATAGGTCAGTAATTAAATCATCAGATATTTCTCATGAAGAATTGTAACTCGTAAGTGAGGGGGATAGTGACATAATGGGTTCCAGAAGGATTTTTTTCTACAAAATAAGTTCTCTGGTTAATCTTTTTATTTTTATTTTTTTAAAATATATTTTATTGATTTTTTTACAGAGAGGAAGGGAGAGAGATAGCTAGAAATGTCGATGAGAGAGAAACATCGACCAGCTGCCTCTTGCACACCCCCTACCGGGGATGTGCCCGCAACCAATGTACATGCCCTTGCCTGGAATCGAACCTGGGACCTTTCAGTCTGCAGACCGACGCTCACGATCTACCACTGAGCCAAACCGGCTTTGGCATAATCTTTAGTTAATCGGGATGTTCTACCCTGAGCAAGCTGGTTACTCAAGGTTTAATTTTTTTTTTTTTTTAACTCCTAGTTACCTTAAAAGTAGAGTCCATCCATCTCCCCTTGCCTCTAATGTATATTATTAATAAGCTTCCTAAATGATTCTGATATTTCCTAGATAAGAGAATCACTTCTTAGACTGCTATGAAAATAGTGTATAGTTGAGGAAGAAGGGAAGTGAGGCCTGGAATGGAGTAGGAAGGTGGAGTTGAGAGGAATTAGGAATAAGGAGAATATTGAAGGGAAAAATAGACTTTTGGAAAGAGGTATATATATTAGAATGTGTATTGAATCAGTTGACTACAATATTCAGTCATTCACTTTGGTTAATTTGAAATTTAAGTCATATCTATTTAAAAAGTTGATAGTCTATTTAGAATGTATCATTTTAAATCCCATCACAAGTTTGCTAATCTCTACTAAAGCATGATAAAATGATATATAAATATGTTTTTATATTCTGGCATGATACATAAAAATTAAGGAGAATTATTTAATGCCATTGAACTCCTAGTTCTATTGGAATATAGATAAGTGTATGAAATGCTTACTTTTATTATAGCATGTCATTCCATTTAAATTGGTTCTTATATAAGCAAGAATAACAATAGGCAGCCAGCCATATTTCCTGCCTTCTGAAGGTTTGGAAAATCTGGGTTGGGGGATCAAGTTCCCTAACTTTTTTACATTCTTATGGTGTATTTACAAGGACTGTATTTTGAGCTTTATCAAGACAGTAATTTTCTTAGTGATCTTAGACTCGAAAGTTACAATTGGAAGTGACCTCAGAAATCATCTGTAAATTGCTTTATTTTCTCGGTAAGGACATTGAGATATTAAAAAGCACTTTTAAGTGATGAGACTGTAGCCAGAGCTTGAGCTGGTGGTTAATTCTCCTAGGGCATTTCATTACCTGTTATAAGTCTGGACTTTAGAAAAATCCTTTAGTTTGTTAAGAATGTGTAGCTTTTGCTCCTTTGAAATTTAATGCTCTAGAGCTGGCAAGTATTTTATAGACTAAAAATTATGAGGAAAGTTTAATAAAAAAAGGGAACAAACAGCCTGGAAAATTAGATACTTTTTGGTTAATCTACATTAGCATGTTTGTTTTCTCTTCGCTCCCAGGTTATATCTATTAGTTTGCTCTTCGTAGGAAAGCAAAGCTGTGGAATTGTTCCCATTAATAATAATTTGGATCCCTGCAATTTCTAAAAGGTTTATAACTTAAGCTCTAAGGAGTAGTTATGAGGCACTCAATGCTAAATCATGCTCTGGGGAAGTCTGCCATTTAATGTGTCATAGGATAGGGCTACCTAGCTGTTATAGATGGTCTCTGAGCTCAAGAAAATTTATGCCTTTCTGTAAGGTAGCAGCAGCTTGACATTCACTAGTAATTAGATGAGGCACTGAAAGGCCATTTTGTGAGAATTGAAGTTCTTTGCTTCATTAATAGTGGTTTCTGAAGATATGGTTTCCTCCTTTCTGGTTAGTCATACTTGTGCAACATTTTTTTCTCTTCAGTTGATCTGACTTCATTTTTTTTTTTTTTAATACTTTATTGATTTTTTTAGAGAGGAAGGGAGAGGGATAGTCAGAAACATTGATGAGAGAGAAACATCGATCAGCTGCCTCATGCACCCTCCCCCACACACACACACTGGGTATGTGCCTGCAACCAAGGTACATGCCCTTGACCAGAATCGAACCTGGGACCCTTGAGTCCACAGGCTGACGCTCTATCCACTGAGCCAAACCAGTCAGGGCTGACTTCATTCTTAATGAAAGGTAATAAAATTATTTCCTTGAAGTTTAGTGCTGTTCAGCTGTTGCCTAGAAGCTGCAGTGTCTCATTTTACCTTTTCTGGTATATAGTTATTTTACTAGAAAAACTCAACCTGTTGGCAGTATAATGTAGTAGAATAGGTAGATAGATAACATAGTTGTGAAAGACTTAAAGCTTCCATGGTGTTCACTTGGTTTGTTTACATTTATTATTAAAAAGTAAAAGAATCTTTAAAAATTTCTAAGCTCTCCTGTTGACTTCTATTCTTGTTTACTTCTGTTTGCTGAATACACAGGCAAAGGCACAAACTTAGAAACAAACCAGCACCTTTGTATTCCTGTGTTTTTCCTGGCCCTTCCCCTGGTGAGTGGTAGTGAGGAAGGGACCACCCAGTAAACTAAGTTTAGTTTCCAGACAGTGAAATGATTGATGGGCTTAGTTTTTGTTTTATTTTTAAAGTTAGCAGCTTTTTCTTTTTTCCCCCCAACACCCTTTCCTCTCATTTTGCAGTCACACTCATAGATCTTGTTTTTGTTTTTGTTTTTTCACTTTAAAGCTTTAGGGTTTTTTCCCCAATAACTGTTGAGACCTGAAAACTGTTAACCCAGGTTGAGTGGGGGCTGGCTTTCAAAGACTGAGTTTGGGTGACTTCGTGGGAGTTCAGCCTAATAAAGAGTGCAGGGTTTTGGCAGGAGAATAGAACATACTTCCTTGATGTCTATAATTCACTCAAGAAGCAAATTTCAGGCACTAAAAATAAAAAATTCACATCTGTTCGGTTTTATCGGGGTCAGGAAAACGTCTTCTCTTAGAAGTTAAGTTGAACGTGATACTAGAGTTGGTTTGCCAACAGTGTCACTAAACTTGGGGTCAGATTGCTGAGACCTAATTTGTTAAAAACTTGTATTTTAGCCTAGTGCATTTGAACATTAGTGATAAGTAGATTTGGATGATTTAAATGTGTTGAGAATTGTTCTAATGAAAAGGTCATACAAGAGAATTTCCTGTTTTAAAATAATACACTTTATCAAATATGTCAAATGTTTCTGCATCATTTGCTTGCTTTATCAAATATTATATTTGTTTCTTATGGTGATGTTAGTACTTTTTAAATGATTTTAAGTAGAAAAGGTCTCCTTAAAAAACTCAGATCTGAAAAGACTGAGAAGACAGTCTTTAACCTTTTCCGTTGCTCCTATTCATTTCAGTGGCTTTCGGTAAATGACGTCATTGTTAAATCATATTGCATTGTGTAATGTGGCCATTTTAGTTCTTAATTAAATAACAAGAGCACAAGAGTGTCTAGTGTTTGAGAAAACTTTAGTATCTGTTCAATTCTCATAGCTCCCTTTTCTTTTAATTGTTCCACTTTGTAAAGTAGTATGTAAATGTTACCACTAATAATTTAGCTCTCATCATTTTGTGCTTCTAATTGTTTTGTTGGGTTTGAAAATGGTTTAAGATGTAAGATGAATATCTATAGAAAAGTTTTATATAAGTAATGTTTTTTGTAAATAATTTTTTGTGTTGTGTCTGTAAACTACATAATAGTTGAAAATTTTGTTAATTAAAAAACAAGCATATTTTTCTTTTTTTTTAATTTTTTCTTTTTTATTCTTAAACCAATCTTTATTGTTCATATTATTACAAAGGTTCCTCATTTCTTCCCCCCCTCCACCAGGTTCCCACCCCCCCTCCACCCCTTCCCCACCTCCCATTGTCCTTATCTATAGGTGCACAGTTTATGTTCAGTTCTTCCCGAATCCACCACTCCCCCTTTCCTGGAGAACTGTCAGTCCACTCCCCTCCCGTATCACCGACTCTACTACAATCAACAGCTAATATTGTTCATCAGGTTTTTCAATCTCCTTTTTTTGTTGTTGTTTTTTAATTAATAAACTTTTATACTTCTAAGAATAAATTTTAAAATCTAATAATTTTAAACCTTGGAAAAACAAGCATATTCATATTTCTTGCAGAAGGTGTGTCACAATAATATTATTCATTTCTCTAGCATTTGACATACAGGTCCTGTTGTGTAGAAGGATTATTTTAAAAGTTACTTGCTCAACTATGACAATATTGTTAGGATTACCCTAGTTTTTTTTAGAATTGTTC